TAGCCCATTCTGCTTGCCTTTCAAACAATAGCAAATATAGACTGATATCTCCTTTCCTGTCATCGAATTTCTGAATAAGGTGACGCAGCTCCGTTTTCGGCCGGATCTGTCCAGTATTTTGAGACTTTGTCTCTGCTTCAAGTCTTAATCTCTCTAATTCATACTGTTCGTTCCTTCTCCGCGCTCTTCTGCTTCTTCCTGTCTCCTACGTTCTTCTCTTTCCTCCCTCTCTTTCCGTTCTCCTATTATTGTGTCTAAGACTCCTTTGACGAAGACTTCATCATAATCTTTACTTTCAACAATTTTCTGTTTTAAATCAACTATTTTCAAATCTGCAGTCACATGAACTCCCAGTTCAGCTGCGAGATTTTGCAAATCTTCCTTACGAGCTCTTCCTAAGTAAGACATTGTTTCTATGTTTAAAATTAACGAACACTGTGTTCTTTATACTTCCTCAAAATAGCTAAATTCAATTTCTTTAATTAATTAATTCAGTAAAGAATCACGGAATTATATGCACTCTGTTAAATGCGTATACCTCAAAAATGAAATATTTAAATTATATGAAGTTCATTCTCTCTACCACATTAATTGTGACTAATACGAATAATAACATAGAGCAATATATATATCTACTGTCTGGACAATTAAAATGAATATTAAAAATAATATCCAATTCGGTAATAAAATAAGACAATTCAATATTAACAGGAAGTAATAATCTGGTATCGCTAATATTGCGTTCAGTAATGAACTAATAACATAAAGCAATTCTTTATGAACAGGAAGTAATAATCTGGTATCACTAATATTATGTTCAGTGATGAACTAATAAAATAAAAATACGCACGATTATTCGATCTCGTCGGTGCCTCCAAAATGATTAAGACTGTGTTCCATCATTGGAGTTGCTTCATATCGCCAAAGAAGCATCACACTATTCTTTGCTATATGAAAGTAATAATAACCTTACTTTAGTATTTTATACTCATAGTAAATGTATTTATTTACACTTGCCTGCTATCTTAAAAAACGACATTTTCAACCAAAAATTAATCCGTTACTTCTAATGATCTTTTATTTATTTATTTATTTTTTTTAAAGTTTCGAATACTTTACTATGTGTAAAAACAGCGTTTTTCAAGATGGCAGATGATTGTAAAAACTGCGCCAAAAATTGCGCCGACGTAAGTCGCCAAAAAATCCGTGCAATCGTCTACCAAAGTAGCACCAAATTAATTCTGAAGAGAATTTTTCGTGGCGTCTGTACGAACGTATGTACGTACGTGCGTACGTACGTATCTCGCATAACTCAAAAACGAGTAGCCCCAGAACGTTGAAATTTTGTATATAGGACTGCTATAACATGTAGATGTGCACCTCGTATTTTGGTCGCAGTCGACCAAACGTATATAAATATATTTATATATATATCCACTCTGTTACCCGGCTCAGTGATCTCAGTTTCTTTATTCTTATATGTTTGTAAATTGTACATTTTTTTGCTTTAAAAATGATTGAATTATGTTGTTCTTATCTTCCGGTTAAGGTTTTTTATGCCTTTAGTAAATCTCTATGCAATGTTTTTAGAATTATCAACAATTTTTTTTGCTTTGCCATGCTGTCCGCATTCGATTCCACTTATAAATGCCAGTGTAAATATTTTTGAAAATGGAATTTATTTTAAGAATATAAGGTATTTCTCCTGCCTTTTTAGCCTGCCTTCGAGGTCAGCACGTTCGGCACGTATTCGAGAGGTCCATGGTTCGAATCCCGACGAGGGCATTGCTCATTTTTCACATCTGCTTCGAAACAACCTAATGTCTCTATAGTGGTGCCCGGTCTAAAAGGTGGTGGATGATGATTGTGCACCACCCAGATTTCGCGATTAGGTCACATAATCCCCAGTCGCCTTTTAAAAGGCGGAGTATATAAGGTATTTCTACCGCTTTCTTGGCATGCCTTCGTGGTTCAGTGATCAGCACACTCGGCGCGTATTCAAGAGTTCCGTGGTTCGAGTCCCGGTGAGGGCATTGTTCGTTTTTCACATCTCCTGCTTCGAAATAATCTAATGTCTCTACAGTGGCGCCCGAACTAAAAAAGGTGGTAGATAACAATTCTCCACCACTAGGATTTGGCGATTAGGTCCCCTAATCCACAGTCACCCTTTAAAGAGGGGAGTATATAAAGTATTTCTCCCGCCTTCTTAGCAAGCCTTCGTGGTGTAGTCGTCAGGACGCTCAGCGTGTATTCGAGAGGTCCGCGGTTCGAGTCCCGGCGAGGGCACTGCTCATTTTTCACATCTCTTGTTTCGAAATATCCTATTGTCTCTACAAGAACATTAGCAGTTTAACTACTGGAAATTCAGATGCTTGTATTCATTTTAAGACGACTAACTATAAGCCAGACTTGACGGAATTGACGTCACAATTTACGCACCTGGGGAGCCATTGATATCGAAGAGAAAAGGGAAATTGATTCAGTTATGTTTGTTTTCATAATAATTATAATTTTTATTTTCATGTTTAACGTTTAAATCTTATTTTAATTATTTTCGCATTAATAGTTTCTTATTGTTCATTAACAAGGACTGTTCTAAAATGAAGATACCACTGACTCGAAGCGTTTTCTTATACACACATTTTTGATTGATTTTGACCCTCAGCTAAGAAAGGTTGCTGACGCCTATCTACACAATTCCTTTATGCAACGTCGAAATTTAGATATCAAACCATTGTAACCTGAGAAAAAATGCAAGTAACTTTGATGAACGCTTAGTTTGAGATTATGCAATTATGTAATTATGCAAATTATGTAATCAAAGGCATTGCTGTATTCCATATATGTAAACGCTTCTGTTGGAAAATTAATCAATAGATGATATTTTTCAATTTTGGCCACATTAGTATCCTGTTTAATACACCTATGCTAGCTACGAATTCTTTCCTTTGGATTCGAATTCATTCAGAATTTCTATGACAACTGCACGAAAGATTTTTGTATTAGAGTTTCGGGTTACCTCATTATTCTGTTTCTATATGATAATTTTGAAACCATTCATAGATCTCTCTATTCACATATATGAATTCATATATAATTCAATGTAATCGTGGATATCAATGCGTGAATTTAAACTGAGAAAAAGTTCTCAGAAAATATGGAGTAATATTCATATTTAAGTCACGTCATATCCTAACTGTTAGGATACTAATAAGGATCCCTAAGTATGTTAGTAGAATATAATTTATTTCCTGAACCATTAAAACGAATGTATCATATGAAGTCGCCTTTGAAGATCTGTCACTTAAGTTGTTTTCATCGGAACCACAATTTTTAATCATAGGGATTATTTGCTTCCTTTGTGTGCTGAAATGACAGCGGTTCTCAACCTTTTGACTAACGCGTATCATCTAAACACAATTTGTAAACCTTTAGTACCACCACTACAAAGTACTTATACCACCACCGCTCTTGAACAAAGCTCAGATTGCATAAATTTACGAGTGTTATAGAACAAACTCAATCAGGATCTTGGGGTTTTAATTTTTGAATTTAAGAGTTAAAAATACTGTGCTTCTTTGCGTACCACCTATTTTTCTCTTGTATGCCACCAGTGGTATGCGTACCACCGGTTGAGAACCCCTGATCTAAGAGAAGGTTACTGACTCGAGTGGCAGGCAAGTGGAGAAAACACTTGGAAAACTTATTGTAAAAATAATATGTAGATTCATTGTTGCGTTCCAAAGAACGGAAGTTTCTAACCAAGAAGCAAATGGTTGCAAAATCTGGACTTTCAAAGACATACAGTACGTTCAGGTAGCATGTCGTTTCATTAAATGCTACTGCATGTGCTGCTGCAGGAATCTGTGCAAGTTTTGTCAGCCTTACTGTTAAAATTTCTTTCAGAAAAGTTTAGTCATTACCATTCTTGTTTTCTTATTACATAATGAGTATTATTTAATAATTTGGGATGAAGTGCAAGGAAAATAAATGCCAAAACCTTTTACTCGTTTTACTATTTTCTGTTCACGTTGCAGTCAAAAGACATTTAATGTAAATTATTGCAAGTAAGTGGCGATGAATGAGTTCAGAGGGGCAGACAAGAAGAACAACGCCCAGACAAGAACACAAGAAAGCGTCCGGTGAGCCAAAAAACGATTAAAAAGCTATGATCTAAACCAGTAGTTATCAATTCGTGTTTGAAAGTTTTAGGAGCTTCGCAGACGCACAGAGAAATGAGAATGAAACAAAAGATTAATACAAAAACAGTAAAATGAAAACAAAAAAATTAGAAATTGTATTCTGAGCGCACATTTTCGAAGTTGTATTCCGTAAGCAGTAATAAAAATTAGAATATGTGAATATGTATTTGATTTGAAATAAATGTAATGATTAACTATGGGAAACTGATTTTATTATACAAAAAGTTTATTGAATTGTATTGTTTACCAAGACAAATGGTTTGATTAATCAAATTTTGGAAGAAATTTTATGAATGGCAGCGTTTCAACAATATTACTTGTATTGGTTGTAGTTTTGAATAAACTGAGACATAGTAAATTTAAAAACGTTTAAATATGTTATCAGTAAATAGACACTGCGCAATTGCTTTAGCTATCTCTTTAATCTCTCTTACTATTTATCCCCTTTTCTTCCCCTCATAACACTTCTCCTTCATAACTAGCAAGACTCTGTAACATAGACATCGATTTTAAAAAATGCTCAGTGAGTGAAAAAATTTGGGAACGACTCACCTAAAACATTTTATTTCATTAAACGTATTCACATGGTTTCAGTTAAGAAAGTATTAATAACGGAAGTCATTATTTATCTTTTCCCACCATTTAAAAAGAAATTTAGTAGGGTTTAAAATACCTCCGTTTTATATTGTTCTTTAACAACCGTACAGCAAAGGAAAACATCTGCTAGTTCTCATCACCCACATTGGAGATTAGAAGTTCCTGATTTGATTCGTGTTGATATCAGTACGTCTTCTTTGGGAACCTTTCCATCGGCTGAATTAAACTGCACTTCGGGAATGAGGAGCTTTGTCTAGAAGCTGGATTTTAATTAAAAATAACTTTTTAGTAATTCCTAAGTATGTTAGCAAATGTGCTTTATATTTTGCCCATGTTATTGGGCAGGACATACGATGCTCGGTATGACAGAGTCGGAATAGATATTTTCCCCCAATCGGAATTGGATAAAGCTAGAGTAAGTTGATATTTTTGACCGAAATCTTATTTATAACATATTAATTATGTCTACTTAAAACATTGTTTAGCACAAATGGACATCATATTCATGTATTGTCAATTACATACTGCATAAAAATTTCAGTTTTTTGTAATTAAATATATACGCAGATTTATATGATAATTGAAAATATATCTTGGAATGAAAGTGCTAACTTTAGAAAGATTTTAATATTTACAACTATTTCACTTCAAGAATAAATAATTAAATGTATAAAAATGCATGGCATTTTTAAAAGAGAGAGATTTAAATCCTAATGACTGATGTTTAATTTTCTTTCTAAATGGTATGACTTAAGTTAATTTTCTTTCTGAATGTTATGACATATTATATTTTAAGAAAAATGAGTCCGAGACACAGGAAATTTTACAAATTAATTGAAATTTAAGAAAACTACACTATTCCATCATTCTTGAAGTTTATTTAACTATTTTCACATTAATACTGTGCCTTACTATTGAATGTTGACTACAAAAGTTAAAGCTCTTTTTTTTTTTTTCGGAAAAGAAGGACGATGCTTTTGAGTGAATACCTTATTGAGTTATAGGTTCGAGTTCACAGCTTGGAGAGGGATATAACAGTGGGGAAGTGGAAGGTTTCCTACATTAAAGTGGGATATATCTTTAAGAGTCTACATAGAATATATTTTCAAAAGGAATTGTCTGATATTTCCGCAACATATAAAGAAAACCTTGTGCAGTTATAAACAATTTAGGAGAAAAATGTTATTATTAAAATCATGAAATAAAGATTACATTTTTGATTGAAATATGGTAATTTCATAATTAAAAATGTGTAATAGCAAATTAAATATTGTTTCATAATACATAAAAAATTAAATGTATTGAAGTGATTCATAAACTCATACTATGCAATTTCTTTTATAACTAAATTAATTATGAAAGAACATGTTTTACTCCCATCCAATCTAATTGTTTAAATATTATGGATTAAAATAAGTGATTTAGTAATATGTTTCGCAAGGCAATTAGGTTAAGATGAAATCTATTAAAAAATGTTGTACTTTGGATAAGTTTTCTTGAAAAATGTGAGTGACAAGAGCTAGTGGCATGGTGTCAGTTGAAGTAAACTATTTATTTTAGTGTTTTCAGTTATAATATGCAATGCTTTGTATCAGAAAATTCTTTCAAATTTAATTACTCCTAAAACAGTTTAACCAAAGCAAATTGTGATTCGTGGCTGCATTCGTTTTTTCCTTTTAAGTTTCTTTTCCACGATCAGCTGAAAAATCCTTAACATTAAGATAAGTGCTATGCAATGTTTACAGCTATTGTTTTCCTCCTGTGTTTCTTATCTCCATATAGCCTAGGTGCCGATTTTATTAAAAGCGTGCCTTATCCCTATATTTTAAGATTTAATTACTATATTTCAGAATTCTGCTCTATGACTTTAATATAATAACCCTATCTGAATTCAAAAGTTATTTTCTTGGCCGCGTAATTTTGAACTAAATTTTCTTAATTTACCATATACTGTGTGAACAGGAAATTTCTTTTTACTTTACGAAAGTATAATCATATTCTTTATACTATGACATTTATTCCCATAATAGTTTTGCTTTAAATTTCACTACACCTGATTTTACAACGCAAATATTTAATTAATAAAATATATTTAATACAATTATTGAATTCAAGTACTGAATTTCATACTAAATTTCTTACTCTGGATCAATGCAATAGTTATAACCTGATTATATGTAACAGAAAATAAGTTTTAGAACATGTTATCTAAAAGTGCAGAACCGAAGAGCGAAAACTTTATCTTTGTATATATATGTTATACATAAGTAGGTGTGGTGTATTTAATTATGGCAAAGCACACTAGGGCTATCTGCCTAAGAGGAGGGATGCCTTTCGTGGAGGACTTTCTAAGGGAAACTGGCTCGTATACACGTTACACATGGGGAAAACCACGAAAACGCCCTTGCAGCCAGCCCGTTCGCGGGATTCGAACCTCGGACCGAACTACCAATGTTCAGCGACTTTACCGCTCGGCCGCTGGTGGGCTTATACATAAGTATATATATGTTTATACATAACAGTACGTATAAAAATTTGCTTAATTTTTATGGAATCTAATTATCCTAAAAATAAGTTTCTGGTTCTATAAAATAGCTAGGTGACTTAGCGTCCCGTCCTAAACTTTTAGTTAAGTAACGCCAACTCGGGAGAAGGTTGTTTATAATAAGCCTTTTCATTATCTTTAACCTAGCAATTCACACAGCTCGGGTAATAAAATAATGCTGTTTGTGGGAATAAAAGAGTACAGGAGTTAAAGTAAAACTTAAGTATATTTAAAGCATGAGATTTACAGGACAAAGTCCACTTATGAGATTTAGCTCAGGCACTCGAATCACGGAAGCAAACAAGGATGCAGCTAATTTAATTAACTAAATTCATAAGATTGAAGAACATGCTATCAAGACGGTCAGAATTCGCTGCCAAAAGTATTATCTCAAATACAGAAACTCTTGTCCTATATAAATTAATTAACCCGCACATTTGTGATAGCTGACAAAAGTAGAAATGTTAGCACAGGCAAAATAACAAGTTAATAAAAATGAAACTCCATACATTTAGTTATAATAAATTTATTATGTGGTTTTTATTCATCTTCACTGCTCGATTCTTAATTGGTTGATTCGTTGGAGTGAAATTTATGAACTAATTTTTGACCTACGTTTATATTTTCCACACGTACGTATGAGCGATGAAAATGCAATATTTCGCGGAAGTTATTTCAAAATTCAATATTGAACTTTTTTTATTTCAAGTCCATTTCCCCTCACATATCTTAATTTAGCTAACTAATCACTGCAAAATTTCAACTTTTACACCATCTGATATATCAAAAATTAGTCTCCTAAATGAATGCTGTTTTAAATTTATAACATTGTAGAGATATTAGGTATTATGGAAGCAGGAAGCAGACAAGATGAAAAATTAGCAACGCCTTCACCTGGAATCGAACCGTGGACCTCTCAATTACCCGCTGAGCGTGCAGACCACTACACCTCGAAGACTCGCTAAGAAGACGGAGATATACCTTATATACTCTACCCTTTTAAAGGGAGACTGGGGGTTTTTAGGCGACACAATTGTGAAATCCTGGGAGAGGAGAATCATCATCCAACACCCTTTTACTTCGGGCGTCACTGTAGAGACATTAGGTAATTTTTGGAAGCAGGAAAGATGAAAAAAAAATATGCATCGCCTTCGCCGGGAATCGACACACTCTCAATTACGCACTGAGTGTGCAGACCACTACAACACGAAGACTCGCTAAGAAGGCGGGAGAAATACCTTCTAACATATTTAGTAAATTTTGGAGATTTTTAGTCCAAAGGGATTTCAGTCCCGAAGGACTATTGCTTTCGTTTTGGCATTTTGCATCGGACTCATAAACGTCGGTTCACTTTTCAAACTGTTGCCACAAAATGTTAGAGTCCTGCATTATATTTGAAGAAATTAAATAATGAAAAATCTGCATAAATGATTGTCTATTTCTCGCATTGTGATAAAACAATGGTACATAGAGCCATCGAATTTTGAATGACGAAATCCTACTGCGAATATGGGCATCTGAAATCCCAAATTTGGAATTTGTTTTATTATAGATTTTATATTTTTGTAAAACTTTAAACGAATTTTTGATTACAAAACTCAATGCTTTAAAAGTGAGAAATGGCAACGTTATATAGAAAAAAAAAAAATACTTTTATCTCCAGCTCGCGAGACTGTGATATCGGAAATTCTAAAGATATGCTTAATTTAACATTATTTTTTGCGATATTGCTCTTGAACTGAATTTATGGTTTAAGTGCAAAGAACATGATATTTAATAAATAAAGGTAACACTCAAAACGTTAAAAAAACGCCCCTTTGGACGTAATTTAAAATCTGAAAAATTTCAGATTTTTTTTTAAATTGTCTAATTTGTTTTCAGCCATATGATTACTAACAATAATGCATTTTTTAATCAAAAGGTTTAATAATTCATTAATAGCTGCCTGTGATTTTAAAGCTTGATGAAATAGGATTTCTAAATCAAACAGAAATTTAGATGCACTGAAACAGATCAGAAAACATCAGGGGGAGAATGATATCATGCAAACTTCGTTGTTACGCCTTTAGATGGGATAGTATTGTGTTTAAAGGCAGTAATTTGTTTTCTTAATTTATGTTCCGCATTTTGTTGACTAAAAATAAAATTTTTGGGGGATTATTTCTTGAAAATTTTACTAATATTCAATTCAGTTGGATGCCTTAATATTATACTTTCAATTACGTATCATATTATCAGGAATATTATCATTGCTAATTAAATTTATTAAGAATATTATGATTGCTAACTAAATTTATTAAGAATACTATGACTGCTAATAGAATTATCCTTTACTTTTCAGTGAATTTATCTGAAACCATGTTAATTAGGTTTTTATAATAAATCTCTTTTTCTTAAGACACTTCACGAACCAGAAAGTGTGTCCAGGTATGAAACTACGGATTCATCTGAAGAAGTTCGAAATCTTCTGGAGGTGTCTGCAGACGTAGCTTTAAAACTAAAGGCGGGGAAAATAGACTTCAAAGGTACAGGATCTTATCTGAAGGACACATCCAAACTTGGAAGAGTCATTGAGATTCTGACTAGATTAAAGTTTAAAACCGTAAGTTTATATTTGACTCTTTTCCTTAATATATTAGCTTAATTTTTAATAATTCATTTATGTAATTAACATGGGAGAGGAAGTATTATATAACGCAAAACATTTTTAAACTTTAAATAATCCAATCAATTCAAATTTTCCAGATTTTTTAATGAAATATTAGTGTTATAAAGATGCGTTGTAGATCATTATAACTTTTTACACAATGAATTGTGACTTTGTGTTTCGTAAAATAATTTTTCTAACATAATTTTTACTTCTGCAATAGAAATAGAAATTACTGTGAATTCAGAAAGATGCAATGAAGAAAGCAAAGGTGTTGCCCTTTTAATTTAAAAATGTTTTTTAATTCATCTTAACATACTGCACACCTATCTTGTATCTTATGCAATAATATGGCTAAACTATGTAGAAAAGGGATGACACTGAAGCAAATGGGCGTTTCATAAGGATCGAATTTCAGTAAACTGCACTTAATGCTTTTCTTTACATTTATTATTTTCGTTTCGTATTTCGCAGTGTAGTTTTCACAAATGCTTTATCCTGTTACTTAAAATGCTCAATGCAATTGTATTAAATCCTATATAATTCAAATGGACATACTATTTAGTTTGAATAGGGAGTTTGAGTTTTGAAATTTTGTTCAAAGAGAAAAATATTTATTAAAAACCAATATTAGAATAAATGATGTAAGCGGATTTCTAAACATATTAATTTGAATTTCATGTGAATCATTTTGGTTTACTAGTAGTTTGTATGTCATTCGCCATTTATAATACACTGAAAATTTTCAGGTATTTATAAAATAATCTAAACTCATGCCTTAAAAGAAGTTAATACGGTATGATGAGAATTATAATTTTTTTCTTATTTAGAGTTGAGAGAATAGCTCAGTGTGTACGAATGCTTTCAATCAACTTAGGGAAATTTGTGTGAGAGTAAGCTGCATTAAGTTATTTGTTTACATCGCAAATGTTCTTAAGCAATGCGATACAGTTTTAAAATGTAAAGAAATAGCTATTATAAATATGTTTCCTACGGGATGGCCCAACGAATATTTTTAGTTATTTTAATGTCCAGTAATTAGCCATAGGAACTCACAAATGTTTGCAAAAGTTTAACTTTGTGTGCGTTTTTGAGTCTGAGTGTCTTATTTCAGATTATTGATTGTATGTTGATAGTGTGAAACTTATTCTTAGGTAACGGTGGCTCTTCCTCCTGAAGTGCAGCCTTTCCCCAGCTGGGCGACAAGAAATAGAAATGATCTTGGTACGCATTTTGTTAGAAGTGTCACTTACGGCGGGGAGCTACTGGCTTCTATTCGCTTTAAAGCCAATAAAGATGAAGATTTTAATTCCATTAGTGCTGTAATTAACAACAATTTTAATGGTGGAGATGCGACTAGTCTTGTGGCAGAAGGTATGTTTTCTTTAAGCTGATGGGTAAAATTAAGACCTAATTACATGGTTTAATTACAAATTTGTGAAAAGCTGAAATTTAGATTTCAATTTTAGTTTTCTATGCAAAAATTAAATAAATTTCAGGTTCTGTTTCAGATTTCATTATTCTATTCCTCTTTGAACTAGATTTAAAGGGTATTTTGACCATCAAACATTCACGCGAACTGCAATTTTCAGAACAGATAATTAACCTACAATCGATACTTAATTAGTACGGTATTTAGTAACAAAATGTCTAACATAGTTGCCTATTTACAGTGACTAGTTGTTTTCATTCCTATTCGTATTACGAAACATCTAGCGAAGGAAAGGATTTGGGAAAAAGAAAGTAGTACTAAAGATTGTTCTGCCGTGAAAGAGCGACCAGTCATCATGATAAGCATGGAAAAAATCTTGAAACTTCTCATGATGTATAGATGTTGTACTCATGTTTTAACAAAACTTGATCAAACGCATTAGTTTGATAGATTTTCTGACTAATTTTCACATCTGGTACTCTGATCTGAGAGAGCTGAGTCATGACCTGAGAGTAACTTGCAGATTTCTCTAGATTGAGCAGCGGCTACTTTTCAAAACTTTCTGTAGAATGTTTTCTTTACCCTGATTGGAAGACATCAAGTATCTTGAAAGATAACAATAGGCAGTATGTGAAAAAAGTTTCTCAATCTTAATGTGTGCATTACATCTTAATCTACATTTTAAGACTTGGAGAAAAAGTATTATACAAATGATTATTCAAGTTATTAAATGTAATAGTTTTCATTTCACATTCTCAATAATATTGGTGTAAACATTGCATGTTTTTGCAGCATGACGATATTCGTAAAAACGTATTAAATCAAATAAAAGTGCTATATTTTATAATATATGTTGCTAAAATTTTTGAAACCATATCTAATATTATAGAGAAGTAAAAATTATGAGCAAAACCCCTCGATTTAATTATTTTAATAGAAATGTTAAAGAGAAATTATTATAAATATGGTAAATAAGTGTTATATTTCAAACAAGGTTTAAAAATAAAACCAACATATTATTAAAGAATAAGAATCTTATGGGGAAAAAAACAAGAGAAAATAATAAATCTATCGTTAATGTCTTTGCTTCTAAAATTTCCGTATCTACTCTCATTAATTTCCCGCCTTTACTTAACTTTTCGCATTCAAAGTCGCAGCAGAGAAAAATATGGCGCTTTTAGAGTTAAAAGAATGGACCAACTCCACCGAGCAACAAGTGCGTCATTTTTTTAACCTTAAAAATACGAATTGCTTAAATGAAATGGAACTGCATCAGTGTGAAATGTTTTTGCATTTTACGCTGAACGAAACACAGTATAATATGAATAATTGGAGCATGCAACTTAGATTATAAAGTAACAACAAAAGTCTAAATAAGTCTTATACAGTTTATATTTTTTAAACAAAAATATTTTATCCAATTTGCTGTCAAATACTTCACATACCATTTAATAATGATAATTAAGTATATACTGATGGTGTTTCGAACTTGATCTTTGTTTTACGACTATAGCTTTATCAGAGGTCTGCTAGGAAATTTGCGGTGTGAATTTGTGCGTATTCCGGTATTTAGAAAAAAAGCAATTTTTAGCAGTTTCGTATTAAGACAATTATTGTCTCATTTCTTCGAGGCCAGAGTAAGAAGCTGCTTCCCCCCCCCCAAAAAAAACCCGTCATGTTTGTTAGTGTTAGAATATGCTGAAAACTTTTATTGTTAGCGGTGATGTGGTTGCACTGCGAAACTACTAAGAAATTAGCTAAAGCGAAACCGTCAGAACGACCATCTACGTTAAACGACCTCTGGAAGTGATTAGTATGTTTCATAACATATTTAAAAATAACGATATTTATAAATAGCGATACATACCAATAGCCATGTTCGCTAAAGTTACTGTCTTTACAAAGTTTAAAAAGCCTTTAAACTTTTGTAGAAACAGTAACTTTATTATTTAAAGTAGACGGATCTAGATCGCTTTAAAAGGCATAGAGAATCTCAGTGACAAAAACGTAAATTTTAATTAATCATCAATCCTACATACTAGATTTTTTAAGTCTACGAACTGAAAGTATACAATGCGAATTCATATAACGTAAAAATCTGCTTTTTAAGGGAATTTTGAAAATTTAGATGGCTTGAATTTTAATATGTCAAAGTAATTTCATATAGAAAGTAAAATAATTTTTATTTTTTATTTATATATGATTAAAGAACAAACAAATTAAAGTATTGATTAATTACTTAAGTTACTCTTACATAGATTAAGTTTTTATTTCTAGCTTAAAACTCGTCTCTAAACATAAAAGGAAAGAAAGAGATAGAATTTATTCTGTTTCATTGTTTCACTGTTTTCTATTAGCTTAATAGGAATAATAACTCTTCGAAACAAATTTGGAAATTTGAATAAACTCCAATCATCAGGTCGTATTAAAAAATCCATATTTCTCAGAAATATCATATAATCAGTTTCAAAACATTTCCCTTTAGTTTATGTTTGCAGTAGTAATAAAAATCTCCAAATATAATCTACCAGATTCCAATGACATTTTCCTAATCAGTTAATGCTCAAAATTACTTTAGAAATTAAATAACTATAATTAAATAAAATTATTCTTGTGAAACAACTATATAAAAGATAGCTAACTGTACATAAAGGGTGATTAAATCTTCCATTATTAATTTTGCTCTTTATTTATTAAGCTCAATTATTATGGTTCCACTTCAATGTTTAAATCATAATTTTGTTACTAGTTAAATATTTCTAGCACAACCTATATCATTAAATTTCTAATTTGGGACTTTTATAATCCTATTCATTTAAATATGAACTGAAGTTCAGCTAAATTCTTTTTAAATGAAGCCACATACAGCAGCGTTCTAAAACTCGATTACTCAGGATTTCATATAACTCGATGATCACTCTTTCAAATTGTTAAATGATTTCTCTTAGTCAAGTAGAACATTATCTTTGAAATAATGTACTGGTTTATTAATAGCTTGGCTATAATAATGTCTAACACTGCCTACACTGTGCAAACAGTACAAGTAAGTTTTAATAACCGTAAATTTGTAATTTATAGTACATATTTATGAAAGTCCGCATGTTTTGCTACTTTATTCTAAGATTTATTAGAGTATTCTAATTTTTCAGTTATGGCATTTAAATCTTTCCGTTTGTGACAACTATTTATTGAAACCCTTATAACGAATTTGGTGATAGGTTTTGTTACTTTCGCAGAAATTCTTATCTTTTCCTCCTCTCAGTAACAAAGTGGTTGAAGAAAGTCAAATAGCAATTGTCGATTAGCATTCAGAATCCTTCCGTTGTTAGCCGTTAGCAGGCTTGCTCAGAGGATTATCTTATTGTAAGATAAAATTTCATTACGTTCTTGTGATTTATCTCAATTTGTATCTAGGATTACAGTATTGTATTGTGTTGTCTGTGCAAGTGAAAATGTCGAACAGAAAGGAAGAAAAATTAACATGGTGCTGGAAGTGAAACTGAATGTCTTGAGAACTGAACAAGGAGGAATACATTAACCTTTTCACGTGATATATAGAGACTAATGCTTTATTTATCGAAGCCATTTAGTCGATTATTCAATCAGCAAAGACCAGAAAATCAAATCAACAGGGTCTACCATTTTCTGCCACTACTGTACCGGTTTAAGCAGAAAATTTTAAATCTTTATAGTAAATTATTTCTTTTAGCCTCATTTAGTGTAGTAAATGCATAAGACACATGTGTCTCAGCTTCAAGGAAAAATTAAGTAAAATTGCCAAGAATTTAGATGTTGGATGAAACATTATGAGTTGTGAATAGCTCATCCGTTCTTTCATAAAACTCGACATTTTTGGTAACTCGTCACTCATCAGTTCACATTAGATTTCCGAATTATATGTATATGTGTTAAGAAATTTATCACTGTTTGGTATATAATAAAGTTACTTGAGTTTTATGACAACTAAAATTTTGTAATGTTTTGGTCCTTATTCTATTGCTCATACATTTATCTTACAGTTTAACAGTAAACATTAAGGTATAAGATGAAAATAATGATATTTTGCTTCTTTGAACTTAATACTGTGCTGCTGGTCTAATACCTAATTTGATATACACCAGCATCAAAGAAATGGTTAAATTTCTGCCTAACATTTGATGTTTTCAAACAGGAATGTCAGATAAATCTCATGTGGTATAAAGCAAGCTATTTTGTTTCAGTTAACTATAAAGTAAATAATACAAGTTAGAAAAAACTGTCATATTAATTATAATGGAAAAATTATTAACAATTTTCTTCATATTTACCTTCAGTTTACCTAAAAGTTAATCTTGATATGCCAGCTTATAAATTAAGTACACATTATTATTTGTTAAGTTCAGATTCGAGTTTATAGTTCAACCAAATGTTACTGTACTGTAAGAAAATTGCGTTCAGTAGAGATCGGACATTCGAATCCTTTGAAAGATGAAATCTTTGCGTTGTTTTTCATTTTTTGAATCTTTTGAATCCTAACCTAGAAATCGGTAAGTTTTTTAACTCAAAACGTTCGAAAGATTAGTTTTTTAAATATTCACTGAGAGATTTTATTAGAAAAACGCGATTACTACAATTGTAGTAGTGCCTAATCGCCCTTTTCATCTAATTGTATACTACGAATGCGCTTTCAAATAAGTCATTTTATGATATTTCTTAATTATTTGGAGCATAATTAGTATTCAGTGTTTCATGTTTAACCTATTTGAATTCTTAAAAGAATTCCTCCGATACAAGCATAATTTTATTTAAGAAATAATCTGGTATATTGTGAAACATTATGAACTGTTATTTATATATTGCTTTTAAAATACGCTAAGAAAATCAACTTCAAGATCAAGAGTTTTAATTACATACTTCATTTATAGAACTTCATTTTTAACGTCCTTACAAATATAAATTATCTTTAAAATCTAGTATATTCTTAACCTTTTTTTAAAATTAAATATTGATTTTATAATTTCTTTGAATTAGGGACTAAATAATAGAAGATATTCTTATTCTAACGCATTCGACGAATTTGAGACTTGAAAGATTCAAAAACTTTTATGTGCTCGGATGCGAGAAGATTTAGGAAGATTTAGGATTCGTCCCATCTTTAATTTTAAGCAATCGATAAGAGATTTACTATCTACATTTTCTTTTCTTTTACATAGGGAAGTTGGAGAATGTGCAGAGCAGCTTGAAAGATAGAGCGAGCATGGAAATCTCCTACTACGCCACCGTACCTCTGAAAGGTGTACCAAACACAATCGATGGCTTAAGAAGCTTGGTGAGGGATTTTGATAAGCACGTGAAGGAAGTAAACGACGGCTGGGGCGTTCCTATTAGGGTGGAACTCATGGAACTAACAGCGCTCGGGGGTGCTAACAGTTCCCAATTTAAATTTTTAAAAGACAGGTAAAAGAAGGTCAAACTTATGCAATTAGTATGATTGAAGTTTTTTTAATCGATATAAATTTTCTATAAATATATATTCTTGTATAGAAATTAACAAATTGGGCCTGAACATAATTAGATTTCTTAACTTGCTAAACGTAAACTGATTAGCTAACACTAATCCAGGTTCGACGTTGATAAAAACACTGTGTGTCTTAAGCTTTTGATCAATAGGTACGTAAAACATGAAAAACTCATATATTTACGTTCGAAATATGTTCTTTTAATATTTCCTTTAGATTTTTGCAATATTTACAATATTTAGATTATTACAATCTTCGTACTTTGCATAAATTGATAACGCAAGTGTTTAATATCGCACGATATTAAACACTTTAGGAAGATATTAGACATTAATTAAAAGCATTCAAATGATGCTTCAGTTTACCGCATATTCTTGTAAATAAACATAAATTGTGTAAAGGTTCTTTTTGACATATTTATGATAAGAGTTATTTAATACATTTAAGTTGTTAGTCGTGAAATTATCAATAATCTGTATATAGCTAAGACATGAATTCAGATGGAAGATTGACACTTACAAGAGATATCTCCTGGTGCCCGTGGATATAGGTGAAACCGTCATGAAAATGCAAGAGCTCCATAAATTACTACGTTTAAACACCGTTCTATTCCACCACAGCTCTAAGCACTTCGGGGATAATAAGTTACTCGAAGCTGTGGATTTTTTATTTACAGGTTCCTAATTCCAAGAAAGAGTCCATAGTGTCAGTAGCAAGGCACCTGCAGCACTTGAACGAATATACTCGACGAAACATTGTCCTTTCTCATTGCTGTCGACAGGATTTCATCACTACACACAAAATAACAGTCAGTGCATCAGCTGATAATCAATCAGAGAGGAAAAAAAGAAACCACGTCAATCAGTTGATCATTTCATCTACAACAAATTTCATTTTTCTTCTTCTTCCTATTTTCCCTCTTTATTATTTCCTCTTCATCAATATATTTTGATCGTCTATATGAATTCCTCTTTTCTCAATCTCATCTCTTGTTTTACTCTGAACAGCCTCAAAGTTTTAATTTTCTCCTTCGTTTGCTCTTCTTCATGACCAAAATATACTCACCACCAGTTCACTGCTAATCATTTCTCATTTTATCATTTTTATTCCCATCATACAAATGTTTTCTGTATCTTCATTCTAAGTTTTCTAAAATCCATTTTTGTAACTTCATTATTTATTCACTTCTTAATTATTAATCAAAATATACTGGTTCAAGATTTCATCTGTCAAACTTTTCAGGACCATTTAAAGAGAAAAAACTCTAAAAGAATGAAGAGGCTCAGTTTGTTTCTCTTGACAGGATATTTAATTTTTGCTATGCCTCAACGCGTGGAGAAGGAGGCACAGACACAAAAGGAAATGACTTTTAAAGGAAACAATCTGTCTATCATTCCACTATCGAATCCAGGGATTTTTTTAAATATTAAAATAGACCCGAGCACAGAGGTAAATTTGATTTTAAAGCTTCCATTTTGCATCCAAAGTATTCCTGTTTTATCCAGCTTTTTTAAATTGAGATCCGATGGCTATTCTCACTGCATTCGAAATGGAAGAAATATTTTTCCTCATTCATCGTCTACTCATTTGTGTCAAGTTCTCAACGAGTTTTGAAACGATTTGACGCATTAGACCCCGGAAAGTAAGCTATTTCCTGACATTTATTATGAGAAAGATTGTTCTATTATTTCTCAAAGCCTTTTGTCATGAATCTCTAGTATAAACATTTTTCATGGTTCAATCGAACATAAAATTTATCCGTCTTTCCTTTCTATTCGGAAACAGAACAATTTTACCATTGGAATGATTTGACCATCCCCTAAGATCAAACTTTTACATAATGATGTCACAAACCTGACATAGAAAGAGACCGAAAACAAATGCTTGCGATTTCATTAAGAAATAAATGAAAACAAACATATTCCTGTAAGGCAATTCAAGGTCATTCCGGTTCCCCCCCAATTCCTTTCCTCATAATCGTGGTAACATTTGGTCCGGAAAGAAATCGAGTTCACTTATTTGGTAAAATTCCTTATTCCTTTGTGCGGTACTCACGACACATGTTACGATGGTAAATAAGAGGAAGCTCTCACTGTAGATGCATTTAAAGGTATACATCTTGTCAGAACAAAAAGGTGAACTTTGCTTAGCATATCGAAAGTATTTAGAACCGACCAAGCAAACAGCTGCCAAAAAAGTGGGTTTAATGGTACACTGGGAACACATAGAATGTATGATAAATCTTTCTTGTTCAACTTATACGTATTTACTGCCTGCGTATACGTATTTACATATACGTATTTAATGTCGCGTTTCCTGAAGGTTCTTGCAATGACCTTGGTTCATAGCTACGACTCTGAGACAAATTAGTAGTCAGAATAAAGTATCAAGTCCCTAAGACCGAAGACCAACGAATGCTTGAGATGCAAAGAAGAAACTGTCATATTTTAATTTGAAATAAAGAAGCTTGTGCCTCAAGAATTTGTCCCTTCAGGTTAAAGAGCAACTGTGCAGTTTTTATGTGGTTCAGCAGTGATTTCTATAGCAAAAAGTTTCGTATACAAAGATTGCACTAAGTTACATTGACCTGAAGAAGTAATAAATGCGTGGATAAAACTCTTAATGTTGTTCTCCTACTGCCAGATTTGTAACCTTTTAACATTCTTAACATTAGATTTTTATTTCTAACATTGAAATTCATAAAGATGAATCACTAATTTGACTTCATAAACAGCATTCAGTCGGAATTGCTGAAATCGCTAAAAGTATTAAACGCATTTCACTTAAGATATTTTGTGCAAGAATTTCGATCCAGTGTAAGCGCTGCATCAGTAAATATATAGTTTACACACAAGCGCTTCATCATCTTCATAAATACAAAATCTATTAAAGGAAATGGAGATCAGACTTAAAATATTGGCTGGTTTTAACAAGTTTGAGTTATTTTGTATACAATTTAATAGAAAAGATTTAAAGGTAATGATATTTTTTTTAGTAATCTTGCAATGTTTTTATTTATGGACTTATATATATATAGCTCATAATCTACTAAGAAACACTCTTCTCATGATTTCAGCTGTAGGTTTAATACGACGCCTTCACATGTTAATTAAATATCATTATAAAATCTTAAATTAAAAAATTACATAGATAAAAATATATTGAAATTCCGTGAGCAATTTTCCACATAGTATGAGGCACCTTCATTTGTCCTGAAATGAAGAAGCATTCAAAGGTACCGTGTGCATTTCGAACCACTCTACGTCAAACATTTAGAGTACCATTCAAGTATGAGGCAAAAGCAAAATCTAAACTCTTAATGGAACTTGTTAAAGGCTAGAACTAATTATATATAACAGGTAATAGAAATATTTTTAAATTCCATATTGAATTTAATTATATATTTGTAAATAATTACATATATTATAATTTAATATTATACTTGATCAAAAAATCACTAAAGACTTATTAAGTAAAGAGTGCATTAAGATGGGCATGATTATGCCACAAATCTGACAACATTTAAATAAATTAAGAATACGATAGTTAACCTTTCAACCGAGCTTTATTAGAAAATAATAATTTTTATGAAATAAAACAATATTATATAAAAGCACTTTTTTTAAATATGATACATATTGCCATAACGTTTTATTAAAAAGCGTTAAATCAAAATATTTTCATTTCATTACACAGTGATAGACCTAAATTTTTTTTTTTAATACTTTCAAGGAAATGAAATCTCTAAATCCCTACATATATTAAATGGCAAACATAAAATCAAAAAATTATAATTTGATTTTTATTGCCCAATTTTGCCATTACCAGGTTTTATTAAGTCAGACTTATAATTTCTTCCATAGGGCTTTGGAGTCTGAACTGTCAGACGTAGAACACGAATTTGATGACTTGAGAAAAGCAAACAGCATGATTACAGAATGGTACAGATCGCTTCCGACATCTTTAACAAAAGACCAGGAAGACTCGGTAAAATTTCAACATACACCACTTTATATAGTAGAAATGTTTTCTATTTATATTCTAAAATGCACTATTGACTTTGATTAGTGAAACATGCTGATGATCATTATTAGTTCTTAAGAAGTGCGTAAATGAATGTAAATAATGCATGTGTTACAACACTCAATCTGCTAAAATTAAGTTCTTAAAATAAATAATGACCGCATAAAGTACGAATCATGTATTTCAAATTCTTTTATTTAAATACAAAATCTGTAGTGAAAGTCCATGCGCTCACATACTGTAAATTTAAAATAATTTTAACTTTTATTTTTAAATTAAAAATTTCAGTGAAATTTATAATTTCGAACCGCTAGATCATCTTATTAAATTCTTATTTATTTAGCAGTGCTTAAATTTTTTTTATTTATTTGCCAATGAAATGAATGAAACTTCTCTCTCTATATATATACAAGGCTACCCAAAAGTTCGTTAACATTTGAAAATTCAATAATTCACGAAATAATGTAGGTAGAAAGGTAAAAATTGACACACATACTTGAAATAACATAGAGGTTTATTGAAAGAAGAAATGCAAGAAAAAGACCAACATATGGCGCTGTGCAGGAAAATGTCAGTGACGCCGTATGAGAATCGTATAAAAATAAGCTGTAGCGAGAGAAGAAATCTATATCTTCTTCACTTTGTCCCTTTCCTACCCTCGCCTCCGGGTGTTGGTCACGGTGTCATGTTAAGTTATCACATTAATTGTGATCGGGCCCTTTTTCTTCTAGGAAATGCGTGGTTCTGCTATTCAAACGGTCAGTGTGACCGGTGTGAGGTATGCCGATATGTTACAGAATTGCATCATCCTTAGTCTGCCTGATAAATATCTGTTGGAAGGTATGGCTTTTATGCAGGATGGCGCTCCACCCTATATTGCTACATTTGTGAAAGATCTCTTGCACATATCATTTGGTGAAGATGGTGTGCTGAGCCTCCATTTTCGTCAAGCTTGTCTTCTCAGGTTCCCAGATCTCAATCCTTATGGTTATTGATTGTGAGCGTACCTGAAATCGCAAGTCTACTGCGATCGTCCTCCCCGGGGGTCGACGTAGAGAACTCTGCGAAGCTACTGGCTAGGATCTGTACCTAGGCAGTCGCCACGGGGGTATAAAATTTATGAACTTGGCGGTTCCCGATGGTCCATGGGGTAGGTTTATACTTGCTCTTCATGGGCCGGGAGGTGTAAGTCCCTTCCACCAGGGTATTGGTAGCCAAATAGCAAACTGGGCCATTGAGCGTCTGGTCCCTGCTGTCCTTGGTATTCCATGTAAAAGCTCAAGGAGAGGGGCATCCCGTGTAGTGCTGGCAGGTAGCCCAATATAACGGCCGGTCATCCACCCTAAGTTGTCATCGCCCACCCCACCGTGGTCTCAGCCCGGCCGAGACGGTGGTCTTGACTTGGTCGTGTTTAGCGGTGGGCTCGATGTTCGTTGAGCGTTCATCAGAGGGTATTTTAAAAGTGTTGGTGTCTCGGGGATGTGGGACCCTGGGCCCAGCAAGCGAGTTCTAACCACCCATAAGGTGGCTTCTGATTGATTTTCAGTCCCTGTAGTGCCATTAAGTTAGCGGAGCAGGTACAAATTTAGTTAGTTACCGCGATCGTCGACCTCATTAAGGATGCTAAAAGGCAACATCCGACGGCAGTTTCTCAACCATACCTACAGAGCTGTTCAGTGCTGTTTACAACATTGGCCCTAGACTACAGATATTGTTAATGAATGACGGCCGACATGTTGAATATATGTTAGAAAGAACATAATCTTTGTTAAAAATCAATTGTTACTCTGATTATTGCATTTTTATCATATGAAGGGCCATCTGTTGGCCGTTTTAAGCACATTTTTTTTTGCTCTGAATAAAACCCCATGACATTTCAAGCATGTGTGTCGGTTTTTACCTGTATACCTACATAATTCAGTAAAGTATTGAATTTTCCAACGTTAACGGACTTTAGGGTTATCCTATATATATATACAAAAACACACTTATTTGTAATTTAATGAATGAAATTAATGAAATTTAAATTAATTAATGAAATTTGATGGCGATGTAGATGTTGCATGGTGAAGCTTTCCCTGATCATGTTGGTTGAAGAAAAGTGATGAAATACTTTGAGTCGGACGAAAAAGATGCTAAAGAAATAGATCGATGTTGAAGCTTTTCCAGAAGTTCTTTATTGAAGCTAAATTCTTTGATAAACGCTCTGAAGCACTACAGACACACATTTTTAAAATATTCACATGTCTGTGTTCTTATTAAACATTAATGAGAATACAGACTATGGAACTGAGAGTAGATTAGGAGCAACGAAGTTACAATTTATTGTTAGTTACAATTTAAATTGTGCTTTATTTCTGCTGGTTAGTTTTAGTTTGCAGGTTTATAATCATTATTGAATAAAAGACTTTAGTTTCACTTTTACTGTTATTAGAATAAATGCGTCATTAATATTATATAAGAGTCATGTAACAAGGATTAATTTTGAAATGACGAAGATAAAAAAGATTTATTATAAACATATTATTATTCATCGAATAGAAAGGGGAAATAACCAAAATCAGAAAGCAGACACAAGGAATTATAACCGGTATCATAAATCAGGATAATATATGGTCGTATAATGCGGAATATATTGAAAATGCGATATGAAAAGGTAAAGAAGTTATATTGCTACACGTTGCAGTAAATGTAATCTTATCTATAACATTTCCAATATAAACATCAGGATTTCATTACGGTTCAATATTTTGCTTGACAGAAAGCGGCGTAAAGAATTGGAAAGGTGAGATAGGAACAACAAATACGGAGCTACTGGTTTTCATATAGTGAGACGACACTAAGAAAATAACAGAAGTAGAGCAGAAAACAAGAAAAGGAAAAATAAAGATGAAGCAAATTGTTTAATTTCCATGCAGCCATTACATGTATTAGATAGTATGTCTATCCCGTTATATCAAAGAGACATTGTATATAGCCAGCAACGGAGAAGATGAGTTTATAAAGTATATCACATGGAATACTTCCTACACCTCTTATACTGCTTTCTTTTAAGCCATTCAGTGTACAGAAATTATTCCAAAAGATCATGAATTTTAGATAAAACCATGACATTAATTCATTGGTGAATTACAGGAAGAACGAAATCATGACACAAGTTATGCGTCCTGAAATATTCTTAAACAATAATCACCCACTCATGGCGGCCTGAGGTGGCACATCTACTTGCAACATTCTGAAAAGAAACCTGAGCAAGTAGGCTGTTCTGAATGCATGCTTTGACGCAATATGGCGTGTAAATTGCGAATGAATGATTTTCGAAATAAATAAAAAAATAAATAAAAGGTTGTAGGATGAAGTCCCCTGTGATTCCAGGCGTGCTGTCGAGTAATGTCTGAAACAAGTAACAGAGATTGATTTAATAACAATAAAAGCAGTTCTCATTTAGCTATTTCGTAACTGGCACTGCAGTCTTTTATGTAATACAGTTTTACGAGTTTATAGTTTTAATTCTGTGCAAGCCTTTTCTTGCGTTTCCATGAAACGCATAAAGGTATAAAAAATGGGAAGATCGTTGCTCGCATTTGAAAGACCTTTTTATCTTTCGACTACAGTGCTGTGAGAATATCCATGAATGCCATGCCAGTATTCTGTCGTGGGTATTATCTCTGTCCCATGTAAAGACCGATATTTATTATTTTTCGCTCAACGCACACTGTTCCGATACTTGTGGATGTTTTCTGATATGAAGAATATTGAGCCGTAGTGAAATCCTGATGTTTCTAATAGAGCGTTACGATAATCTGCTACATGAATTGTATTCATGATGAACGCTTTATCACTGATTTCGTACATTAGAAATCTAGCTATTCACATGCATAAGAAGAACCGAAGTTTTGCATTTCTTATCATTTAAAAGTTTTAAAGACACGAAATCAATTTAAAGGTTGGAAATTCCAAAACAATCCCTGTGAATAATTTTAAAAATATTTGACAATTCTTTGCTGGAAAAATGCGACCAATTTAATGATACAGGAAGGTATGAATTGATAAATTTGGAATAATAAAGGAGATTTGTTTGAGGATGATTAAATATACGAATATGACGGAGAAATGTTAAACTAAAGCATGAAGAAACAACAGATACTTAACTGTTATAAGAAGTAAGCTTGTAAAGTCATTCGGTATATTTTTGGAAGCAGGCAAGCTGAAAAATAGCAACCGACTTCTCCGGGAATCTAACCGCGGACCCCTGGAATACCGGCCCAGCGTGCAGAACCACTGCACCACGAAGGCACGCTAGGAAAGTGGGAGATATACCTTATAAGTTTTTCAAAAGTAGAAGAACGGGGTATCAGAATTTAAGTGCTGAGTAAGGCAATTAATTTTGAAGAAGGAATTGACGAAAGTTTGGTTTAATTTGGTTTATTTAATTATGGGAAAGCACGCAAAGGCTACATGCTTTGGGTAAATACTGCCTTTATGGAGAACATTTTAAAGGAAAGATGCTCGTATCCACGTTTAGACATGCGGGAAACCACGAAAACCCCCATACAACCAACCTGTTTGCCTGGAGTCCTACCCAGGTCGAGCTACCAGTGTTCAACGACTTTACTGCTATGTCGCTGGTGGCAGATAACAGGGCGCATCAAAAAATTCTGCCATGTTAGGACACATTTTGCGTCCTATAGAGTTTTGAGTTTAGAGACATGACATCAAAATTAACTTCCAGAATGAAAAAAAGAACAGCATTTTTTCTAAAAGAATTCTTACCTGTTCAAAATAAAGTGAACAAGCCTAACAAGTTTCTTGATATAATATTCCAAGTATTCCTTTAGCACAGATAATTGTCAAGAAACTTCAGTATTACTCGAGCTCACTTTCTGTCTAGTTAAGGTATAAGATAAATTACAACTAATAGCCTTCTTAATTGGTTGCCCTTTAATATCTATTGCTCAAGACCTTGAGTGTTCGGTGGTTAAGCTTTTAATTCTGCATTATGAATGTTTAGTCATTGATTACAGTGAGGCACCGGTCGGTTTAAAATGCAGTCTCTTGAACTTCACTGAAATATTGCATTACTTTATCTTCGTTGGAAAGTGAATCAACTGAACTAAAATAGAAATGCTTATACTAATCAGAAACATTTGAGTTTGAATTTCAGAATTCATGTGTTATGTAAAAGTTAGCGGTTACTGTCGCTTGTAAGTGGAACACTATGGCCGAATTTTTAAAACTTTTTCAGAAACTTTGTAATTTAAGACGATTAACTAAAGATGAATGTAATTTAACCATGATTCAAATTTTTTGGAGTCTCTTGAATAGACCGCATGTGCTTGCGACTATGGAAAAAAATATCTTAAAAATAATTACAAAGACACATGGACATATAAATATACGATATCTAGTTATTTTAATTGGATTAGAAAATTAGAAAAGCTTATCTTCTCAAATATTAGTCACCTGAGTTATTAAGCAGCTACACACACATTATTTCAGTTTTAATGCCGTTTATATGAAGTTCTTTTCAATAGAATCAGACATGCATATAACAGTTTCATATCTCGGCAAATGAATATTACTTTTAAATCCCTGCTTTATTTCATTTTTGCTTCGAAGAAAAAAATGAGCATAAATGATTGACGTTGAATTTGTACAAAATTAGAAATATTGCTGACAAAATAACTTGTTGCTCAAAACGAGTTTATTAATTGTCCGACACCCGTTGAACTCAACTTGCTACGCTATCGCTCTTTAAAGGTTTCCCCCTCTTTGTGGCTTGGAGGAGAATGAAAAAGCAGGTTACCTAGCGAAACAAGATGCTAGACCCCCTATAAAAGACAAAAAAGTTTTCTATATTATTCCTTAAATTTTAAATGATTTCAGATTTTAGGAATAAATATTTTTTTCTACTAAAGAATCAAGCTATTGGAATGGCATGGGAGTGTCTCCTTGATCCAAAATTTTGTACTTCAAGTCTCCCTCGAAAATCGACTGTTGTTTTCGATAGGGCATGACTATATTACTGCCAGTTTGTTTCATTTTTACAATCAGAAGCTCTCCTGCTTGCTTTTCAAAAATTGGCTCAAAATACCAGTCGACGGGTGACACATGAAAACATTTATATCGTCGCGACGGGCAGAATATTAAGTACCTTATAAGTTTTCTGACAGTAATCGATATTTCATAACTTGGAAATTTGAAAACATATGCTGAGAAAGGGACTCCATTTTTCGTTTTAAGATCTGCCGGTCAAATATTAAATGCTATGCATTTCGCGGAAAATATATGTTAACAAAACGTATACGCTTATTGCTGTGCGTAACATGACTAAATAATTTGAATGAAGATATTTAGTTGTTATTTTTGTTCCTGGCAGCACTTGGCTTTAATTACGTCATTAACTACTGCTCTACCCTAGTGTATCAATTAGTTCTGAGATTATTTTCGGGTTGCTGGCTGATAAGACCGAAAACGATCACTGACAAGAGTTTGTAAACTAATTATTATCAGGAAATGAATTTGTCATCTAGAGTTGAATCTCTCTTTTCCTAAACCATTTTAAGTACAAAAATTTATAAAGAACTATCGTATGTCTCCAAGCATGATGTTGTGCTGTAAATAACTAACATGCTCAGCCACCATTTGGAAGATTCGTGGTTTGAATCTTTGAAAGGATACAGTGGCTCTTTAGATGGGGTAGTATATAAGGTATTTTCTCCCTCCTTTCAGTATACCTTCGTAGTGTAATTGGAAGTATACTGGACGCTTAATCGAGAGGTCAAACTTTCGAGTCCCGGTGGAGGGCTCATTCTTTGCTAGTGAGTTAATACAATTCATATGCTGATCTCCACGATTTTAGTTTTGGTCACATATGACCAAACATATTATGATAGCTAAAATATGTTTTTACTTTTTAATATTGTATGGTTTGAAAAGGGTTTTTATATATTTGGTATTATATGTTTTAATATATAAAATGCGAAAAATTAATTTGGAAAGAAAAGCAGTGTCTCTAAATGTAAAGAAAATTATTCCTTCTAATTTGGTTTAATATTAAATTTAATTCATATTTATTTTTATCTGATTAAAAACTACGGAAAACTGAAATTGCCGGAAAAATTCTGAAAAGCTGCAAAAACTCAGCAAGTTTTTTAGAAATTTCTAAAAACTCTTGTTTCTTTCTCATTGCGAAGAAGAAAAACATCCAAATTCTGAGATGATTAGTTTAAGAATTAAATAAGAATATATGAGAAATACTGAAGACTAAATGAAAAAACAGTATCTAAATTGAATTCTGAAAGACAAATATCTTTCGCGCAGCGTATTGTAATCTCAACGGAAGTTTGAATATTTTAAGAAAATCTGGCTAATATATGAATGTTTAAAATTAATTTCAAGATCTGACCCAAAAAGGTAAATCAAGATAAATAAAATCACGTATAAAGGAAAGGGGGACTAACATATATTAGCTTGATATGTTGAATAATATTTCATAGGAAAATAATTATATGTCATAATATGTCATAATATTATATAAACTAATTAGGTTTTTTAACATTAAAGAGTAACTGATAAAGGTCTCAAGATCTCAATATATATTTTAAATGTCAGGGTATATTAATCAGTTAGCATCTCATAAAGGAATTTTTAGATTAATATTGTAGGCTTGGGCTACTGTGGTACTATCTATACATATGTAAAAAAGAATGCGTATCTGTTTGTTCGCGATTAATTCAGTCACTACTGTTAGATGTACCAAACTTTTCACAATTCTTTTCTGGGTCCCGAAAAAGGTCGACGTTCACTGTTTTCAATAAAATAAAATAAAATAGATGAATTCAGGGGTATTAATTAGAAACTCTGAAAACGCTGATTTTCGCCTCTTTTTTCCGAATGGCAACAGTTTCGCACGAATTTGTAAGTTTTACAAAAACTGCATGTACAAAAAATAATGCTTGTTTGTTCGCGTTATTGATTTCTGATCAATTATGATCAATTTTGTGCTACATTTAATTGACTAAAATTGTATACAGGTGAAATATTGGGTGGAACTTGAGCTTTTACGAGCATTTGATTAGAAAGACGAAAATCATTGAAAACTGCGTGCCATTGTTGCTGATATAATGAGAGAAAATTAGTTTCTTTCTCTATCAAAATTTTTATGTGCGTTCTATATCGCATCAGACGGAAAAATGTATGACTATGAATCGTAATTTTTGCTTCGTTATTAGAGAAGGATTGCGCATCGTTCTCTGTGTTGTTAGATACATTGGTCTCAATCTAATTTAACTGGCATCGGGTTCTTCTACTAGTTAATAAATAATTTCAAGTCCATTACTAATCAAAATTTTTTAATAACGGCAATAATTAAGTTTAGTACTTAGTTGCAAATGTAAACAATTTTATAGCTTATCGCATCTAAAAACTTATTCAGTAAGAAGAAACGGGTATATAAATTTAAAAAGTTTTTTTAAAGGAAGTTGCAGAAAATTACTATTCCAAGAAAATAAACAATGCTAAAACTTTATAATTACGCTGCCCTTTTTCGTCAAGTCATCTGCCAGAGAGTAATGCAATCTTTCGCACTAGTTCTCCTCATTCTTAATCTTGCAATGATAAATGTTTCGATTTGCATTGTTACGAAAGTTAAAAATGCAATTCATATTAGGAAATAAGTTTTACATTTTTATGTAAACATAATTCATTTTCTTCATACTAAATTTGAGAATATTTCAGCCTTAACTGTCATATGTATTTAAACGTTTATTTAAGTTTAAGATACAAGTTAAATTAAACAAATTTTACTTGCAATTGATATGAAATTTAAAATTAAGAAGTCTTTTTATCTCAAATTTCTTTTCAGTTTACAAACAAAAAGTGTTTTAAAATAATGATGTAAATCATTTTAAAACTCTTTCTTATTCTTGTTAGATAAATAAATTATACGATAGAATTCAGAATATTCTGAGGCCTTACTACGACAGCATAGGAAAGCTGAACATTGAAGAAGGCCCTGAAAAACAAGTAAAAGCTGCCAGAGAAGCGTATAAGGAGGGAAGATTGGCCTCTTTGCCAGGCAAATTTACGAAGGAATTTATGAGAATGAAGAAGAAAATTGTAAGTTAGATTTTTCTTATATCTTTTTTCCGTATTTCAGATTTGCTTTTGCAGCATGTGCATTTTGGAGATCATTAAGAGATAACGAGCTTTTATACTTCCCATTGCTTTTTAGGTGGTCGTGGGTGAGTGCATATTTTGGAGATCAAATTAACTTTCCAGCTAAAATAGAGATATTAAGTTATAAACTGTAATGAATGTAAGTGCAATTTTTATTTTCATCTGAAAAAAGTAAAAGAATATTAAATTGCAGCAAATGGTAAGTTAAACATATTAAAAATAATAATGATGAAAGACTAATAAAGAAAGTATTTATTATTTCATCGTAAAATTATGTATGTATAGTTGACTGCAAAATCATCAAATACTTATTATTATAATTCTAAAAATATTGTGACAGTTATTATTATTTCATTACGTAAAATTTACTTTGTATTCTAAATAACATAAATATTGTCCCTTCCAAGTTTTTGCAACAGTTGAAATTATTGAATTCGGATTTTCCTTTTAAATATTCAATGCAAAATATGTAGAAACATTTCAGTTATTAGACTGGCAAATAATGTTTACGAATCTAAGAGTTAAAATATTTTATTTGGTAAAATTTTCCGATTCCTATAAAAGAGAACTTTGCTACAAAACGATGTCAGTAAATAAAATTTTTATTCAAGAATAAGAGGAGAGAAAAAAGTTAAGTAGACAATAAATTAGAAAAGAAAAGCTTATTAGTAAAGTTTCTATAGTTTTATAAGTAAGAAAAGGGGAAAAGTATTGCGCAGGATTAAAAAAAATTAGGATTTTTAAGCTCATAACTAAACACTGATAATTTAATATTAGTTAAAATTTAAATTGTACTACATTTATAAAGACGTCACTGCGTTCTACAATCGTACTCTCGTATCCATTGAATTAGTATTCTTGGTTCACTGAGACCCCTGCACCCCCGAAAAGAAATTCTTCCGATAATTAGAAAAATAAACAACATACGCATTACAAAACTCGTATCATTGTGAAATACAGCAACTAAAGTGCTCCTAACTCGCTTTCCTCCGGAAGTTCTAACTATTACCGCATATGAGTTTTTAACTTACACAGCTCTTTGATGAAACCATAATTTTGTCATCTTATTATTTCTTGACAGTGCAGATAACAAGCATTGTAAATTAAACTAAAATTTTTTTGACCCTCTCTTAGACATACACAACAGTAAAATTTGTTACTTTTACTACGTGTACGAAAAAGAGACAGGCGGTTAAAAAAAAAAAAAAAAAAAAAAAAAAAAAAAAAACACTTTGTAAATTCACATTGGGAACTAGATTTTCCTTTGCTGTTATTTTACTTCGTGTCTGTTGTAGTTTACCAAATTAAATTTCGTCGCATTTGTGCCTGTTTAGTGTATTTGAAAAAGGTAATAAAAAGTTGTATTTTATGTTAACTCAAAAGATGCGCTTCTAATCATGAAATTTCTCAAAATAGGAAAGACAACTCTAAGAAAATAGTTTCAATACTATGAACGGTTCTGTAGATACAAAAATCTAATGTTTTACTTGTTTACCGTTGAGAGAACAATCCAGCAAGTTATTATTTTAGAAAGCTAAATATAAAAAACGTTCTTTACTCATGTATATGAGAATTTAGTTATTCAGCCACCTTTTTAAAATATTGTTACGAAATGCCTAGCTGTGGTAAGATGGCTTCCTCGCAAAGCGGGTTTAGGTTTGCCAGAAAGTGGCAAAAAGGGCAGGGTTGCCAGATTTAGTGCAAAATCACCCATTTGGCGACGTTTGGAGACAAAATTGGTGCTTTGCCACAGAGAGTATTCTATCTGGAGCGAATTCTTACCGGTTTTCCCGAAAATGTTCTCGAAGGCCGGTCAAAAGCTACGCGGAATAGCAGTTTACCGTGAAGAGTATCTTGAGTGTGCTGAGTTCAGTAATAGTGCTTTGAGTTCAGAGATTAGCTCGAGAGTGATGAACCGAGTCGGAAGCTGTACTTTAGTGTTGTATTCACCATAATAGCCTGATAGCCTGAAAGCTGTGTTGTTGATTGGTTCGGCATATTTATCGCAGTTTTTCGATAGCTGTAAATGTGTCTTTGAAACTCTTCTGTGTTAAATAAATTATGTTTTTGATTCTTCATCAAGTGTTGTCACTCGAAATACATGAACCTGTAGAACGGAACAATATTAATAACTTTTTAAACATTAACTGCAAATTCATACAACCCTAATAAACAATGAAGCTTATTATCCTCAATTATGCTTGCCCTATAGTACGAAATTTCTGCTCATATCACATCTAGACCTTCAATTTGAGAAAAGAACTTCAATTTGCCTGTAAAATTTTAGAATTGGTACAACCAGCTCAGTCCCAGTAATAGACGCGACTTTGAAATTAGGTGCAAGTGCTTTTAATGTTTTCAACCGATAAAATCGAGACGAAAGAACTAAACGAAACGATAAGCAAATACTGTCAGTCAAACTACAGCTAGGGCCCACCAGCGTCTAAAAATAATTGAGGTAAAATTGCTGAATACTGGAATTTCGTCCGGGCTAACTACATTTGCGTTTCCTTCGTTTTCTCCGTGTGTGTAATGTGCATACGAACCACTTTCCCTTAGAAAGTCCTCCAGGATGGCATCCCACCTCTTAGAGAGATAGCCCTCAAGAGCTTTGCCCTAATTAAATAAACCGAACAAAAAGAAAACTACAACTAAAAGTCAGGGAACCGGAATCTGAAAATAATAGCGAATAAACTGATATAAACAGAAAAAGTTACCTAAACTAAATTTGCTCTAGAAGCTGTATGTTAACTAGCTCAGGCTCTTCAGTATTAATAGCATTTTCTCGTATTCTCATATATCTTAATATTCAGAAAAATATGCATGTGCTGTCTTGCCTCTTTGTTAAATCCTACTGAAGTGGGTGGGGTAAGAATGAAAGAAAAAGCTGGTTAAAATTATACATTAAAAAGCTTTCTTTTTTCCCTGCATTGACCAGTTTTACGAAACTGACTAATGAATTAACTTGAATCGATAATGGAAAGTATTTTAAAATGCCATCTATCGATAGATTTTTAAATTGATTAGACATAACAAATATGCTATGCATAGTTTATCCAGCAAACTATTAGAATTTTTTCAGAAAATGAGAGGGTTTCTTGTTACATTTAGGACATCAAATTCTATTTATATGTATATAAATATTAAACATTTTATTTATAGAGAAGAAACTGTATGGTTCAGGTACAGGCACATACATCCGTTGGGGATCGAAACAATGTCCATCCTCACCAATGATACATCAACTGAACACTGGATATGTGTCAGCGACGACAAACAGAGGTACAGGAGGAGCCTCAGAATACCTTTGCTTACCTCAGGACCCAGAAAAAGTAGAAAAACAACCTGCATTCGGACATGATACTGCAACATACATCTCCGGAGTTAAATTTGGAGTAATGGATGATCATCCATTTCAAGCAAATGATGTTAGATACTTTTACGGAAGAGGTATTCCATGCGCTACGTGCCATTTGACCAACAGGTATGAACGTTGTATTTACTCTAACACTAAAAATTTAAAGAAACGCTTAGAATTCATTCTTTAGTTAATACTGCATGAAGTGATTATGATTCATCGGAAAATAACACCAAATAATGCTTTTCAATCAACTTACGTTTTCTTTCTCTAGTCTTTTATCTTTGAAAAGATTTTCTAGTCTATCAATCTTTGAAAGGATTTTCAAACCAACTGATTTTAACTTTTGCTGTTTCAACCAGTACTGCAGACATAAATGCCCATAATTTTTCTTTGATTTGGATTGGTAAGAAATGGATGTTAATGAATGTATCTACGCAGAGCAAAGACATTTACCGCAATCCTTCCACATGAAGGTAGCCTCTGTTGGTTATCTTACAGACTTTCAAGATTTTCCCATCACATTTAAATTTTTTGTTTTGTATTTGTTTTGTTTTTGTTTTTAAGGAAAAAGATTTTTTAGAATTTCAAAAGATTAGTTCATTTTGGAATATTAGAATAACCGCAGATTGTATTGTTTTATGTAAGGAAAAGCCTTTCAAGGAAATAAATTAATTTAGAATCCGATATGGAAACATGAGGCAAAATTAAATATATCTGTTTTTTTAACACAAAAGTTTTGTGTTATAAACTATAGTAATATATTTTTAAATCTTAAACTATTAATATAAAATAGAAGAGAACTAAAATCAGCCCTTTAAAGAGAGAAAACTGTATCTTAAAATGCATGCAAATTGAAGATTTTAGGGTTAGATTTACAAATAAAAATAAATTTACATATAAAGTTATCTGAAATAGTTGAGCATTAGAGGAATCCAGGTATATAAAAATGATGCGAAATTTATATATAATGCGAAAAATATTGTTTAGCATATTAGCGCCTTCAAAACTGAAATTGAGTTTTAGGAATAATATTTAAATAATAAATATAATAGTTAAATAACAAGCTATTGTAGTAAAGCTCAAGGATTATATTTATTACAACGACTAATATTATCAAGTGAATTTTATACTTGTACAGATTATGTTGAACGAAAAGCGTAATGTAACAACTAAATTACAGAACTGAAATTAAAACTTATATGATGCCACACTTTAAGAAGGAAAAAAACAGCTGTAATTAATGCCCGTTATATGTTTTTATTACTTTCAAAGGTCTAGGTAGAAAAATACAAAGTAGAGCTACACAAAGGTGACAAAGGAAATGAAGCAAAATGTGAATCAATCGTTATCCGAAAGACATTATAGTTTCCAAATACTTAACTATTCATAATTCCACACAACTGACGCGAAAACCGTTCTCCCTATTACGAGCACAGTTAAAAATCAATGGAATTCAAGTGACTGGTGAGATAGTCATAGGTAGTCACTCGAATATAACAGCAGGTTTTCGAAATGAAGAATTAGACACAGAGAAGAATTTTTTTCATGTTTTAGTATAATAATAAATTCCTTGTTGGTAATTAAAAGCTATAATTCTAGGTCATATGTAAACCTTCTAGTGGAAAATGATGTTTTCATTTCTATCAGTCAGAATCAATATACATTCTATCTTCTGTCTCATCAATTACTATTTCACTGCGGGCACTTAATAACAACCTAGAATCTACAGGACAAAAATATATTGTTACGATTTCTGTATATATGTAAATAAATCAAGTAAATTAAGTAAAATTATAATATGTAAATAAATTAAGTAAAATTATATGTGAAACTGCAGTACCTTTTTTGTATAATGTAAACTGAAATGCTTGCAAAGAGACGATGCTCTACAGAAAAAATTAGAATACAGGGGCAAGTCTATTTAACAGTGAATAAATATCTATTTGGCTAAATTGGCGAGATATCGCGATGCTAACGATGGTTTTGGCGAAAAACCACCAAAGAGTCGCCATACTTGGTGACTATTTAGCGACATTTTGGATCGGTGCCTGTGTAAATGTAATTGGTACTGTAATTAAATAATTGTCATTGATCCATATATGTCCCTACAACTTTATCCGGCCATCATATGCCTTCCGGTAATGTCTAGAATTACTAGATGTTTCTAGCGGCCGGAGGAAAACTATATAAGACTGAAGGGGCCATAAGTTTCTGAGTAGTAGTTAGTTCAGAGCTGAATTCGCAGTATTGAGATAACCGTTCTAGCTTCGCTCTTTAGATGCAATTTGCATTGCGTTGTGTTTAACGTTATTAATAGTTCGAAGTGTAACTACTGATCTGTGATACTGTGAAGAGCTGTACAAATACTTATGTGGAAAGTTCCAGAACTGTTAAATGTCTGTTTTAGTAAAAAATAAATTTTATAAAGCTATCATCGGTTGTGTGTGCATTTAATCTATTACGAGTCCGTAAGCAGGCAACAATATATATGCCTTTCAGTACATCTCTCTACAGGAATCTGAAATTCAACAATTCAGTTAGATAATTGTTTGTAATTATAGATTCAATCTGAAGGTCAGACTTCGAATCAGATATTTTCTTTTTCAAGACAGTAATGAAGTTGAAAATTTGTTTAAATATGGCATAATAGAGAGACAATAGCAAAAATTACAACGCTAAATTAAAAAAAATGTTTTAATTGTACCATTCAAATTTCATAATATCTAAATTTCATTCTGATTCTTTTCCTACAGGACTCTTGTTCATATGTTCCCGGCTACTGCAGAATGCCCGGAAGACTGGATTTATGAATATTCTGGATACATAATGTCCGGCTCTAATTTACCAGCAACTCATATTTGCATTGATGACGCTGTCGAAGCTTATTCAGATCAGTCAGATGAGCAACAAACTCACAGTACTACTATTGTCCACATTTCTGAGGAGGATGGAGGTCTGAAAAAACCACCCTACGTGAAGAAAGCTGCTGTGAAATGCATTGTTTGCTCTAAGTAAAATCTTTCGTGGAGGAACTAAATATATTGTGAAAATTAGGAATTTTAAAGTTATTTAAAATGTCGACAAACTATACGCAACGATGTATAAGTGGTATGTCTTGAATAAAATGTGTCTTATTCCTGAGCAAAAAGCGAGTAGTATTTCATACTTTTATTATAATCCAGCGATATTTTAACAAAATAATTTTCAAAATAAGTTATTTTAAACAAATCAAAAATGTAAGAATCCAAAACGAAAAGTACTAGTATTTTTAAATGAGCATTGCCATAGGATTTTATATTACGCTCAAAGAGACTTTTTTTCATTTACATGCTCATACACGTTTTGAGAGCATTTGGACTAATGCCTCTTTGGGCTGTATATATTTAAAAACAATATAGCTTTAGAATTTCCGCTAGACAGTCTTGCGCGCTGGAGATAAAAATGTTTTATTCTGTGCAGTGTTGCCATTGCTCGCTTTGAAATCGTTGAGTTTTTTAATAAAAAACTCGTTAAAGATTTACAAAACATAAATTAGATAATAAAACGAATTCGAAATTCAAAATTCAAGCCTCCGAGTGCCCATATTCGGGTGGAGGACTACGTAATTCAAAACTAGATACCTTTAGGTACCGTTGTTTTTTCACAGTCCGAGAAATATACATACATTAATGCAATTTCTTCATTATTTAATTTCTTTAAGTATAATACAGGCGATAATATATGGTGGCAACAATTTGAAAAAAAAAAAGGATTCAATGCTTTTAGCGATTCTACGCAAAACGCCGTTTCGAGACTAATAGCCCTTCTCAGCTAATGCCATTTTGGTCTAATAAATGCAATCCTTATCATGAAGTAAAATTGGAAATGAAAAAAAAATTAAGTTTTCTATAACTTTCAGTCGTTTACCGTCTTTTTACTGTTCAGAAGGATTTCTAAATATTAGTGTATAAATTATTTCGAAACATATTTCTTTTTAGTATAGTGATTATTTAATACAACCTGATAAATAAATATTTTTATGTTAGATAGACAACAAGAGAAATTTAATTGATTAAATTCCACATTTTTAAACATAAACATTTTCTTTCAATTAAAGTCTTTCAATTTTTACCATTCGAAATATTTACTCTTAAAGCGCGAAAAGTTCCCTAATGCATTTTTGACATTTGTGTTTCAAATATTTAAAAGTGAAATGGTTTAACGAAACTTTTCAAAGATTCTAAATCCTCAGTGATCACTGACTGCAACCGGCAAATACCTAAACTTTTCTAATAAACGGAATTGCTAAAATTTCTGAATTAATTTCTTTACAAATGCATATTTTAAATTAACTTTACAATTGAATCAAGTAAATAACTTCCAGGTAAGCCTTTAAAATAAAATTCCTTTTTAAATAACGCGGTTTGAATTTTTAGTCTCTTTTGCACATCGTAACATTCAATTAATAATATATTAGTAAAAACTAAGAAAATTAGACACGCCAATTGAATCTACTAGAAACATGGATCGTAAAATGAATGTACGTATTGGACTTTCTCACTGTTTAAAAATATTAAGTACATACAAATCTACTCCAAAGAACTTTTACTCTTTAGTGCTGGTAACATTTTTATAAAACATGCAGCTACTCGTTTTAAAACACGAAAGCCTTGCTGTCAACAAACAAGTGAATTTTTTTACTGTTGTAAACAGAGAAATGAAAGATAGAAGATAAAGTTACGTATCGATAAAACAAGGTATGATTTAATATACATATTTTATTCATGTTCATGTTAAAATCATCTTCTACAAGTCTTGAAGTGAAAATACACTGCATAATATTCATATATAGAGGGAAAGAAAAATTAATGCTATTAATGCTGTTAATTAAACAAATATTGTTATTGGTAAGACCTCCCTGTAAAAGTAGGCTATAATTTAAGTTTACAAGAAAATAAGTTCTTAAAGTATCTTATAAAATATATATACACTATGAATAATCATTATGTTAATGGCCATTATTATAGGGTTTATCATCAAAATTTTAAAAATCAACAGAAATGAATGATATTTTTTTTTGTCAGTGGCGGCTTCTAAAGTAGTCTCATCGTTCTAAGAAATTAAATAAGCACCTATTACTAGTTATAACATTATTTTATGGATCTAGAGTTTCAGTATATGAAGTAAGTACGAAATGTTTATGTCACCAATGACTATTGTGTACCAAAATATAAGCGTATATAATCTTTTGTCTATATGTAATTGTGTATGTCTTTGTTTATATGTAATTGTACCCATGTATCTACTAATGTCATCACATATCTTGGCACTGTATAGTTAATATACATCTATTACGCATGGATAATCATGCACCTAATGTGTCTGTATATATGTATATGAATTTATGTTCTGTATATATGATAATGTAACTATGCATCTGCACATTTTATCCTGTAACACGGCACCGTATCGCAAAGAACTAACTACAGCCCCACTCTAAAATTAATGCACCAAAGACACTGTACTACACAGTACTAATCTAGGGTCTAACTTTTAATTCACTGTACTAATTACTTATTCCCAGCATAACATTGCCACCTAATATTTCAGTATGTACAGTCTTCTGTAATCTAAGATAATGCTTCAAGGGTCATAGTGTACTCAACATAGTACACACGTTATGTATATATGCATTATCCATGCTTTTGGCATACACGTTGTAACATGGCATGTATTATCCATGTCTACATTAATTAGCTTTAACGCCCTGTAGAATACCAAATTTGTATGTATGTTATATATTAGTATTTAGCACAAGAACACGTATGGTTATCTAGATAAAGGTGGACGTGGCGCTATACCGATTAACCGTATTGGTAGAGGGGTGGTGCCCACGTCCTCCGTCGCATGTCGCATGTCTCATCGTTCTAAAAATTGTTTTTTGGAAACTATATCCTCTGCACATCTGCCAAATGTTACCTGAAAACTGCACTCATCGAACCAGATTTTCTTCATTGAGAACATGGTTTATTCTTGGAATGCAACATTTTCTATGACATGCTTTGATGTCAGATGTCTTCCAAAACATTTTTGGGGAAGTTCTGAACAGTTTCTTTTGTTTCAATTTAAGTGTTAAATCACATAGGTAGATTTGTTTAAAACGCTCTTAAAACATTTTTCGCTCTTTAAAGCATTTTCAAACGCGCAAAACGCTAGTTAAAATATTTTTGACGCTTTAACTGCATTTTCAAACGCGCAGCAGGATTTCAGAGTAAATTATCTTAGTTCAAAATTTTGTCTACATTCGTTCTTTCAAATCGGTTGAACCTGAAAGGAAAGAAAATTAAAGCTGATCTACATTTTTGTGTCAGTCTTTATAAGAAGATTCTCAAGAGATAAACTAAGTTATAGAGCCTGAACAGTGTCGTGCCACTAAAATTCAATTATAATTATTAAATCGTTTTACACGCTAATCGTTTATACACACACTGCCTGATTTGACGCTGATAAAAAAATGATGTTTTACCATTGCAAACTCATAATGAAGTGAAGCTTCGGCCTGCAAGCACCTCAAATCACGAACATAAAGAGTCTCAAATGATGCACAGTATCTCAATTTCTCAGTACTCAAGTCAACAAAACATTATTTTCAATGATGTTTTGAAGCAATTTCAGACACAGAAGTAATACGTAGGGATATTTAAAAATATCATTTTAATATTTTACGATGCTTAACTTTCACCAACAAAGTCTGGCAGCAAGTGACTCACAGAAATCCATCCAGAGTAAATTAGGGACATATTGCGTTGCAGGTAGAGATTTTAAGGTCTTTGAAACTGACGGATTTTTATTTTACATAATATTACATCTTTAGACAAAATTCTGAGTTTTGAAGTTAACATTGAAGACGTGGAGGAATTACTTAAAGGACCAAAAAATAAGCACAGCAGGAAATATCTAGAAAAATTTCAGAAGCAGCAGTGAAAGGCGATTGTGGTGAAAGTGTCTTTAGAGGAAGACAAAGGACGGAAAGATGAACTTCTTTGATCCTTCAACTTTGTGCAAAATTGGGGTAAGGAGAGCAATTTCATGTAATGACATCCGGGGGATTCGGTATCTTTTGAACGATATTTATTTAAGAATTGTCATTTATATTTTATGGTTATTATTCAATGGTTTGTAAGATATAATTATTTTAAGCTGAAAAAATGTTTGCTGGCAATATTTTTAAAACTAAATTTTTTAAAAAAAAATTTAAGAATTAAAAGGATTTTTCCTTGAAATTAATGAATTAGTCTCTTAGTCTCGGGGAACAAAATTAAATCTCGTTTATATGTAAAACTTTTTAAAAAAAAAAAAAAAAAAAAAAAAAAACGTGTTTTCAATTGCATTTTTCTTCTAATAATTTTTCTTTTCAATATTTTGAAAAGCCCATCCTTGCTTTTGTTAATCTAATAATTTTAAGCAAGCAGTGAAAATATTAAATCATTTAGTCCGTATCTGAGTTAGTTTTAAGGCTTTAAATACAAAAGACTTATCGAAAAAATTCAATTTGGAAAACGCAGTTTAAAGAATTTTCTAAATGGTCATTAAATTATTTCAAATTTCTTAAATACTAAAATTACCGAATTTCACTACACACGCAAACACACACGCACACACATATATAATAAAACTTATTACTATTCAGTTGGTTTATATAAACATCCATTCTTATATACAAGTTTTATTGAAACATGCAGACTTTTATTTGAAACCTTAGCTTACCGGAAATATTGCAATAAAAATTATAAAACACAAGTAAAATTTTCTTTACCTGTTTTTGTTTTGTAAAATGCGTTTTAAACAATTTTAATATATGAATTAATTCTAATATATTTTCTAAAACATTTATAATCAGTAGTAATCTGTATTTTATTCCTTTTTTCAAAATTTTGAAATTTGAACAGACAAAATATTTTATTTAAAATCGCTCAGCAGCATATGAGATTTCTTCTTTTTTTTAGCGATTTGGTCTCGTATAAAAATTATATTTTAAATTAATTTAGGAGTTTCAATTAAATAAAGGATTTCAATAAAGAATTTCTTCAAAAAACGATTTTCAATAATGCTAGTCAGGAACTCGATCACTTTCACTACGCCACCTATTTCTGTTCATATCTTATCAAA